GGTGATTGGCAGCGCCGGGTTGACGGGCAGCACCACCGGCGCGGCGCCCGCCGCCGGCACCGCCGCCGCCGCCGCGGCCGCGGGCTGGGCCTGGGGCACAAACACGGGCTCGGGTGCGGCAACCACATACTTCGACTCAAAGTCCGGCTTGGCCTTCCGGGGCAGCTTCGAGAAGTTGCCTGCCCGCATGGCGCGGATGATCTTATCACTGAGCACCACGCGCCCCTCCGCCGTCTGGCAGGCCGCGACGCCGGGGTTCCTGTGGCAGTGGCGGATCGCGCCGGCGACCTTGTGCTTGCTGATCGCCTCCAGGAGGGGCTCTGAATTGATGGCTTTGGCGATCTTTACGTAGGCCTGGAGGGGGTGCGTATGTGTGTGTATGTGTGTATGTGTGGCAGGCGAAGGGGTTGCGCGCATGCCTGGAATGCCAATCAGGTGCTGGATGGCATCTCGAGCCTGACTTCCTCAGTCTAGGTGCCCGGGTGTGCATGTGTTTTGAGGTGAGACACAAATTGAGGTGTGTACTGAAGAGCGCTGCTGTCTGGCGATGCGCAGTGCTGCTGCAGCGCAGTGCCAACGCAGCGGCCGAAGCAGCGCAGAGCCGATGATACGCGGCGCACCTGGGCAAGGGGGCAAGTGCCCCAGGCCTCGGCTTCGTACTCCCGAAACTGAAAGAGCGCCTCGTCGCGCTGCGGCGCGGAGGCAGGGTGCATCGCGCGGGTTGATCAGTGAGCGAACATTTGAACGCGCTGGCACGGCCCGCACGCGTCCGAGCCCAAGCGCCTTGCTCAACAGGCCCAACAGCAGGAACCCTTCCCCCAGTTGCAGCGGCAAGGACAAGGCAGCAGGGCTCCCCACCTCGTCCTTGCTCTTGACTGCGATGCTTTTGTGGACGCACGCGCCGATGGCGTCGGGGTCGGCCTCCTTCTCCTCCCTGGTGGGCGGCAGCCACCTGCACTTGCCGTTCTCTACGGCCTTGCACGCCGCCTTTTTCTCCTCCTAAGAGGGGGAGACAGGTGTGGCGGCGCGTTTCTTGACACGGGACAAAGACGGCAAGGCTTGCGTCACATGCGCGCGTCATGCGCCGGCTCAGCGCTCCGCCCGCATACCTTCGCGCACGGCAGTTGCTTGACGGCCATGGTGCCGGGGCAGGCGGCTGCGGCGGCCGCGTCCATCAACAGCTTGCCGCTTGTGAGCCGGCATGAAGGCACCTGCGTGAGGGCAGCAAGGCAGCAACATGGGCCCATCATGCTCACATGCGGGCTCCACCCTGCGCCCACAACTTGCGAGGACACTGGGCCAGCATTTAGTACTTGCCCTGTAGCTCTTTGCATTTGGCTGCCCAGGCGGACTTGGACCACGAGCCCCAACGCACGCAGCGACGCACCGAAAAGTCCGACCATGCGCAGTGGACGGTCTTGCTCCTAGCGTTGCACTTGGCCTCCGACGTGAAGAGGCTGCAGGCTGCGTCGGCGCCAACAGACTTGACGAGCGACGCGGCCAGGGCGTCGTTGCGCTTCGGCCGCGTGACCGCCGCGGCGATGAACAGCGGATGCACATCGCAGGACTGCGCGAGGCTGTCCCACGCGCACTGCCGGCTTTTGACGGTGGCGCCTTGCGCGAGATGGCTGGCTGGCAGCAGCAGGAGCAGCAGCAGCTGCGGGAGCAGCACCGACACATGCCATCCCACGGCCCGTTGTATGGCAGCAGCCATCTGGCCGACGGGGCGCGGCACGCTGGTTGTGCTCCCGCTATGCAGTGCGCAGTGCGTCGCAGCAGCGGTCTGCAGGTTGCACAGGAACGACGCCCGGGAAGCGCGACCGCAGCGGCCCCAGCTGGAAGCAAGATTGGCCCAAGGCCAGCCCTTTTGTGGGCACGCTCCAATCTAAGGCCCAGCAACCACGACAGCCAGAGAGCAAGACTCAACGAGCTTTTGTGAATTTGGACAAGGTGAAGTGTATCCGTTAGCTAAGGACGCAAAACAGCATCAAATATATGTATCGAACACAGGCGGCAACACAAGTTGGCCCTCGTCACGGAGCTCCGGCATTGAAAACTCTGATCAACATGATCTCCCAGGGGAGAATGGGGACACGAGCGCATCATGCAACAGCTCAGAAAACTCTATTTTCGACATGGCGGCCAGCCTTGCACGCGGGTAGTGGCACCTTCGGTGGGTGATGCGGGCTGAGCGAGGGGGCCGCAGCATGCGCGGCGCAACAGTGTGCGCATTTGCAGACTCTCGCTGCATTCTTGCCAGAGCATCACGCTGCACAGGAACCCTGCAAGACTGGTGTGTTGACTGCTTCGCGGCTCCATGGCTCACGCACACGGCAGGGCGGGCGCGACCAGCGGTCGTGACGCGCAGCGCCAAGGTGCGAGCGCCGCCGCCGCTGTCACCAGCTGCGCCAGCCACCGCCACACAAATCTGCTATGCGAGCATCGGTTGCATGGCAGATACTTGCTTCGCAGCGGCGCCGGGGCCCGCAAGCGACGCTGCATGCCTGGCCTGACGCCGCGCACCTGTCCCCGCCCCTCCACCTTCCACCCCTTGTTCCCGCCGTTGCCCAGGCCGGCGAGCTGCTGCAGCGTGCCAATGACAAGTATGTGGCGAAAGATCTCATGGCCGCCATGAAGCTGTATGAGGATGTGCTGGCGCAGGTGCGGCGGCCGCCTCGCGGCAAAGGCGGGCGCGCGTGGCATGCTGCCGGCCGCGCTGCGTCAGCGAGGGCCCCCCGTGGGTTCGCAGGGTTGGATTTGTTGTCGCTTTGAACAGTACAACGGCACAGCATGGAAGATGGCAAGGCCGGGTGACAAGAGAAGGCGCTCGCGGCGCGTGGCGGCGCCCCCATCGCGAAGCCGAGCGGCCTCTGTCCACAGCTCCCAGTAGGCAGCCGACACCGTGCTCGCCGAAACCGCTCCCCCGCGCCCGCCGCCGGCCGCCGGCTGTGCTGGATTGGACCATCCCCCGCCCCGCCGCCTATCCAGGACGGCGTGACGACCAGGCAGAAGCAGGCCGCGCTCTTCGGCTCCACGGCGGTGCGTGGCCCCTTGCATGTTGCGGCCCGCGCGCAGACTGCCCAGGAAGGCACAACACAGGCACACACCCACTGCTGCGCTGCCAGCCGGGCACGGGCGCTGCGACCGTTCCGCCGTGACGTCCCTCTGGGATCTCAAAATTTTCACATACAGTTTTAGATTCAGATGGCGCACCCAGCCGCACAGCGCAAGGAGGTCGAAGATGAACCCCCTGCCCGCCTGGTTGCACTCAACCCCCCAGGTGCACGCGTCTTTTGGGGACATCGAGCTGGCGCAGATCACGCTGCGGGGTGAGCCGGCAGCGCCCTCCGTTGACTCGGTTTTGTGAATCATGTTGCTCATGCCCCAGTCGACTTGCCAACAACAGCGGGCTTGGCTTGGCGCCGGCAAGCCGCTGCGTCCCCCTGCTGACTTGCCCCTTCCACTGCACTCGTATGCAACGCATCGCTCCATTGAATCGTGTTTGCCACGCCGTTTGGGGCCGCGCCCCTGGTACCTCCCTCCACCAAAACAGAGGGCATCCGCAACGGCCTGGACTTTGACCAAGCGCTGGCGGACCCAGATTTGCCCGACTTTGTCACGTCGCCCCAGATGCTCATCCAGCTGCGCCGCTTCAACCAGACGGCGCAGGGCGCGCTCGCCGCGCGCTCGTCGCGGGCGGTGCAGCGGCAGCGGATCGGCGGCACGAGCAGCGCTGGGGCCGGCGCGGGGGCGGGGACGGGGTTGAACCAGGACATCGGTGGCATGTTCGGGAGCTCAACCTCGGACACCGCACAGGTTGACACGTCCGTCATAGGTGAGCACTCCGAGGGTACTTCTGATCAGGCGCCTCCAAGGGCGCCGCGCGTCTGACATCTCCCTAAAAACGCCACCTGCCAAGCCTGCGCGGGTCTGGCGCCTGCGCGGGTCCGGCGCCTCAGTGCCGTCCCGCGGTGCGGTCGCCGGCCGCCCCGACGCGCCGCCCTCAAAACC